AAACATCTTCAACAAATGACAGTCTAATCCCTTCTTGAACACATGTAGCAATGAGAATTCTTGGTAGGTAACTGAGTCCTCTGCCAGCATTATTCACTGTTAATTGCTCAACTTCCTGACTAGTAATTCTCTTCCTGATCCTTCTCTTATTATTTCCTTTCCTTTGTTTCTTTATAGGTAGTCCTGGCTTACCAACCACTTGTTCAGCAACTATTAGAAGTTACAGCAGTGCTGAAAAAGGAGACTTATGATCAGTCCTTAAAGTTGGGGCCTCACTGTATCCCATAGTCATATGATTGCCATTTGCGATCTTCATAATCAGCTTCCAAAGAACAAAAAATCAGTGGGGAAACCAGAAGGACCTCACAAGTTGTGGTCATATGACATTGTGCTTAATCTACAGCAGGGGTGTCAAATTGCCAGCATTTAGGCCGAACGCATCACAAGGCAACCACGCCCACCCCATTGCCGGCAATGGGGAAAAAGCTCTGATACGTCATGTGACGTCATGTGACGTCACATGACGTCGCAAGTTTGACATGTCTGATCTACAGTGGTTCACTGAATGACTGCTGCAGAACTGACACTGTAAGTCAGCATGATGTTTAACTTAATAATTGTGACATTTAGCAACAGAGTTGCCAGTCACAAATTGCAATCAGTAAGTGAAGACTACCTATACTTTTATTAATTTGAAGAAATGTATAAAACCAGCATTGGTGTGCTTGGAGGGAAGGGCAGAGCAAATTCTGAAATTTAAAATAGCATTTTACCCTGTCTGCAAATTTTCTAAGTAGAATAATAGGTTATTTTCATAAATTATAAACATGCCTGCAAGACCTAGCTATACAACACTCACTAGATTATAATACTGGAAAAACTAAGAACATTATGCATCCACAAAACATTTAACAATCATTGCAGTGCAAAGAAAATTTAAAGGCCACACTTAAAATACTTTATTTTGGATGCTCCAATTAGAGATGCTGTGATTGTTTATGAAGTTAGTGCAGGTTAAACATCCATTTTAAAACTCAATATGATAAAAATAGACTTTGAGATCCCTATTATGTCTCTTTATTCAATTTTACATACTATAATCATTCATTTCACATTGAGACAAGATCTTTTTTTTTATTATCCTAACAACACCAATAAAGATTGCTAAAATGTATTTTTCTGTGGGCAAAGTTATCTTCTATGATATGCAAAGCTTCAGAAAGAAGTTTAATATTTACGGATGGATTCTTGTAGAACTGCAAATGCTTTTCATAAATCACGAGGTGGTACGATGCTTCCCTAGAGCGTCAGCTATTTATTCAAAATTGTCATATGAAACATCCTGTAATGACAGGGTGTGTTATGCACAAATATGTTTCTACCTAGATAAGAATTCCTGGATGCAAAGATGCCTATAGTCTAACAGGGTGATAAATAAAAGGAATGGAAGATGGGACCTATTTTAATAGAATAGGCTTGACCCACAATTGCTATGAAATTGAAACTGAAAAAAAAAAGATTAAATCATGGAATTTATGAAAACATGTAAAAAGAAGTTATTACAAAAATGGCAGTCCTCTGGTAATTTAATATTTCAGCACTGCTAAAATAATTTGACATTTTTAATGAGCAACCAGGCAGAAGTTCTTTTTTTTTTTGCCAACTCCAATGAGCAAGAACATTTTTCTTATATTTAATTAATTTAATTAATTTGCCACACATCTCACTATACAAAGTGACTCTGGATGGCTTACCAATATAATAGAGTCCCATATATTAAAACATTTTTAAAATTACAATTAACACAGCGTTTCTCAACGTTTGTGTGACGGCGCCCCCGTCACACAAACGTGCCACGCATGCGTGGGGCGACGCACATGGGGGGCGGCACCCCCATGCGCGGTGGCACCCCCATGCGCGGCGGCACCCCCATGTGCGGCACGCATGTGCAGCAGCGCCCCCTGAGGGGGAAAATGGCGGATCACCTTGTTTGGCGACCCCCGTAAAATGATCGATTGACCCCAAATGGGGTCGCGACCCATAGGTTGAGAACCGCTGAATTAACATATCTGCATCTTAAATCTCTGTTTATGCTTAAACAAGGATTTCATAAATGTAAAGAAAAACTTTACATTTTATATTAGATAGTGACTATTTTATTAAGGTGCTAGTTGCTAGAAAATATTTCAGTTTGGAAAAGGAGGTATTTCATAATGGGGATCTATAGGGGCGGGAAGTCATAAAAGTCAAGATGGAGTTGCAATCACATAATCAACACCCTCTTTTTAATTTGTGGTATGCATGTAAAAAGAAGGTGGGGTTTTGATTGCCCAGTTTGTGGCCCAGGTAAACTGGATAGCCCTGTGGATGGCCTCATCTTCCAAATTACAGCTAAAAAAATCAGGAGTCTGGTAGCACTTTTTCTGATTAGTCCATTTTATTAAAAGGCATAAGTTTACTTGAGCTGAAGCTCACTTCATCAAATGCCTAAAGTAACTGGACAAATATAGGATTTAAACTGGACAGATGTAGGATTTAAACTGGGATGAGACAGGAGAAGAAGGAGACGGGGGGGGGTGTTACGCAGATGCAACTTTCATGTGAGATAATTGCCAGGACCTTATTAACAATTGTAACATATAAAAATTGTGTTTATTGAGATAGTTTGAAATCTTTTGAGGTATGTCCATTCAACAATCTCTTGCTCAGTGATGCTGTTAAAGTCTGTTTCCCAAGATGTTCACTTCAATATGTGCAGAGATTGAAATGCTCTGATATTACTCTGCCCTTACAGGAGTCCTGATGTTAAAACTTTACCCATTAATTCTTTTGCACAATTATTTAGCTCAAAATCACATGTATCAAAAGGTTTCAGTCTATCTCAAAAGGTCTCAAGAAACTCAATGAGTTTCAGGTCCCAAGACTCCAATAAATAAAGGCTGAACCGTATACAACTCTTTATCTTATTTCTAGAAGAAACAGAAATGGCCATATAGGAAACATCTTCAAAGATATTTTAAGACCTATCATTCTGATAATTAAGAACATAGCCAACATCTTGAACCGCTTATGGGCAGCTAGTATACTATACCAGTACTAGTGAACACAGTATATTATCTGTGAAGGCTGGCCTGTAATAATTAACATCAGCTCTTTAGGTGTCATGGACAAAGCCTATTATATATTATTCTGACATTTTGCTCTGATCCTTTTAGCGCAGATTTAGTATGTTCCACTGTACTGACTCCTTAATGATTTGATTGTGCACAACTAAAGAAGAAAATGTCATCTTTTTTGATCAGTAGGAAAGAATCTCTTGTTATCATATTTCAAATTTCACTTCCCAATTCAAATCTTGGGCTGAATACTATACAATTTTAAGACTTACCACTACTGTCCACTGTTTTAGCCTTACCAATATTTGAATGTTATTCTGAAACATGTTTTTTTTCTGAAATCCATCTTTTAATATCATTATTGCTAGGTACAGTCTCTTCTTGGATGATTTAGAGCAGTGGTTCTCAACCTTTTTAATGCCGTGACCCCAACCGGTCATAAGTCAAGGACTACTCAACTGGTCGTAAGTCGAGGACTACTCAACTGGTGCAGCACCGTTTGCAGAATGGGACTTTTGGCGGGCTCAGCAGGGCAGAGACAGCCTGGACAATTCCTATTGGCTTTTGAAAGCCAATAGAATTAGACTCTATTCAAGAGAGTCTATTCTATTGGCTTTCAAAAGCCAATAGAATAAAAGGGAGTAGCACAGCTAAGGAAAAGGGGGAAAAAATGGCGGACTGCGTTGTTTGGCGACCCCCGTGAAATGGTCGTTCGACCCCAAATGGGGTCCCGACTCACAGGTTGAGAACCACTGATTTAGAGCAATTACTTGCCTACTTTTTGGCCTACAATTAATGTCATTTTCCGAGACCAACTCTCTGAGTTCCATTGATGGCACAGAGAATACAGAGAGAAAGATGGTATCAAAGGAGACCAATCTTTGCTAAGAGCCAGATAAAATTTATGGTTATTTCAATGCAATATAATAAGACCAGTAAGGCAAATGACGCACATAATCAGAACTTCATCCTGGAATGCTTGTTTCTGGATTTATCCATGGTACGTAAGCATTATGTTTAAAATATAATCCATCCACGATTCTGCATCCATAATATTTACTGCAATATTAGTTGTTGCAATATTCAAACTACACATGCAAATGATGAAATCAGAAGACATGGGAAAAGAATTTGGAGGAGGAAAGGACAATGAATATACAAAGATTGAAATTGTAAAAAAATGTGAAATAATAGTAAACAATAACACAAACAGAACACTAAAAACTTGCACACATGGCTTTCTTTCTTAAACACTGTGATGGTCCAACACCCTTAAGGTGTGCACACGCAAAGCAGTTCAAGAGTAAACTATCATTAATCATTTTTTCTCATACATGCTGACTTAATGAGCTTTGTATTAATGGGACATATGAATCTACCAGCTAAGATCTTAGCTACTATGAATTAGACTACAGTGACTTATTCAGCAAACTATGGATAATAACAACAATGGCTTCCATAGTAGCCTTTTAGTAAAACAAAAAAATCTCTATGCAGCCATGTTGCAAAGGCACTGACAATATGCTCTCCAAATTCCCAATGTATTTCTCTAGCTTTAAAGCCATTTGCCCCAATGGCTTAGATTTTAGAACATGTTCTTCAAAAGGAAAAAGCTGTCTGGCTAAAAAGGGGTGACATGATCCAGACCTGACCCTTTTACTAACCATAGTTAAGATCCTGGAAGGATTACATCTTACATAATAGCAAACTGCAGCTTTGTATTTTATTTTAAATCCCCTTTCTAAACATTTTCTGCCTTCTCCCTTTTTTCTCTGCTACGAAGACTGTAGTACAGTAATGGAAATTTTTCTCTGAATGTCCTATAATTTATTTTATTTTATTTTTATCTATTTTATTTGTATCCTTTATTATCCTCCTCCTTACCTTTGCATTCATCTTCCTGGCTTCCCTTCTAGCTGCCTTTTCTTTAAGCCTTTTCTCCTGTAAAGAACAAAATTAAAGGTAAGAACATAAAGGAGTGTAGAACAAACAAGCAACCTGAAACAAAAATGGGACTTTATGAAGAACCTTTTTGTACATGCCTATATAGCACTAACTAACCCTATATTAGTTTTTGTAGGTATAATAATGAATACACGATCGGAAAGTGTTCCCATTCAGCCTTACTTTTAATAAGTGATTATAGATTTTGGGCAGCATTAATATATAATAAAGGAGAATTTAGTGTTTCTACCTGAAAATCAAATTCAACTTTAGCAAGACAATGCTTGATGTAACCCATACTATACAGTGCTTGGTCCAGAATTCTGAATTGGATCCAGAAATTCCTGTAGTCACAGAGGCTCCTGTGGGTTTATAAATGTTGATAGAAAATATAACACAAGAAGACTTACTTTTGTTTTTGTAATCTTTCTTAGCAAAAAATATTTACAGCTAGATAACAACATTCAGTGCTTCGCTTGGCTGATAGCTACTGCAGCTAGATTTTTAAAATACATTGTGAAATTGACTTTTTCTTATTGAATTGTTATGTAGCCTAAATGTTCTCTACCGGTGCATTTATGCATTCCGCAATGTTGGCTTAACATAAATGTAGATTGCAGTATTTCTAAATGCTCTATTTTCAATTTAGAGAAGTAGAGGGATAAATATATGGCCCAAACATTTATCTCTCTCAGGCTGTGGCAGATTTTCTTTCTGGTGGATAGGACTTTAAACAACAGCAGGATGACTGAACCACAGAATAAGACACCAATGTTTAAGTCTTCGTGTTAATATTGTGTTAATATTCTTCATCTTTTCCAACCATGTGACTGCTGGTAGACACAGTGAACTCTCAAATCCATTAACAAACCCTTAAGGTTTCCATTATTCATTTTAGAGCCTAGGTCTCTTTTTCTATGGTGCACACAGAAAAATCTTGAACTCTGTGATACGCTGCACTTGTTAGTCACTAAGTCATGTCCGACTCTTCACAATCTCATGGACCATAGCACACCAGTCCCCCTCCCCCAGTCTCCCACTGTCTCCCTGAGTCTGCTCAAACTCATGCTCACTATCTAACACTATCTAACCATCTCATCCTCTGCCATTCCCTTCTCCTTTTGCCTTCAATCTTTCCCAACATCATAGTCTTTTCCAATGAGTCCTCTCTTCTTATTTGGTGGCCGAGGTATTTGAGCTTAAACTCTGTCCTTCCAAAGTATCTGTTCTTCCAAAGTACAGTCAAGGTTGATTTCCCTTAAGATTGACTCATTTGATCTCCTTGCACTCCAAGGGACTCTCAAGAATCTTCTCCAACACCACAATTTGAAAGCATCAGTCAATACTCAAATTTTCTTTATGAACTAATTCTCACAGCCATACATTACTATTGGGAAAACCATAGCTTTGACTATATGGACCTTTGTCGACTCCTGTTTGATGGGTACCAGATTTGGGAAAGGGTAGTCTAAACAGAATGCTCTCTACTCTGGGTGTAAGAGAATTTCTCCATCCTAGTATTATAGAGTACAAAGAAAGCAACTGTAAAGAATTCTTCCTGGCTCTGTTTGCCATAGTAGCTGCTTGTGTTCCCAATATTTATTTGAATATAATGGATGCTCTCATACAGATCAAAGAATATTCATATAATTTATTTTATAAAGACACCATTTATTTCAATTATTGTCAGAGTAATTAATGAATAAGTCAGAATGCGAGATATGGGTCACAAACTACTCCAGATTAAACATCAGCGATATTGTTCTTCTCCTTTTCTTGTCAACTTTAAACATCTTTAGATATCAGTAACCCAATTATGACTTGTTCAATTCTTATACATTCAGTGTAAATACCTTGACTCTGTAAGTCAGTACTCAATTTTCTACCGCCTCCAGCCCAATTTCCAAGCTACTTTGGTGTGACCTTCTATGCTGTATCCTGTCAACCTATGTCACTTGCCCATTTCTCTCAAAACCTAGTTGTTCTGCTTAAAGCACTACCACTGAAAAGGAGCTGCAACACTCTATTAATAATGACCTGGGGAAAAGAAAGAGGTGAGGAGATGAGACAGAGAAAGGGCATGGGGCAAGTTCAGACAGTTGCCAAATCAGAAGTTGAAAATAGATTTGGGGAAAAACATTAAAAATTAATCAGAGAGACTATTCCAGGCATAAGGAGACATTGCTACACTGTGCTATTTTGATGACATTGTATAACTTAAGCACAACACAGCAAAATAAGAAAGGCAAGAGGGCAAAACCATCAATGCTACAACGGAGCAAATTCCAATCATACATCCAATGCATTTTTAAAACTGTCCTTTTCTATGCAGAAGTACATATGCATCAATTTTATAATGATAATTAATACATAAGCAATAGCAATGGCACTTAGATTTATATACCACTTCACAATGCTTTACAGCCCTCTGGAGGCGGTTTACAGAGTCAGCATATTGCCCCCAACAATCTGGGTCCTCATTTTACCCACCTCAGAAGGATGAAATGCTAAGTCAACTTCAGCCAGTGAAGATTGAACTGCAGGTAGTTAGCAGAATTAACCTGCAATACTGCATTCTAACCACTACACCATAATAGTTTTTCTATCCTTCTAGCAACCAAGAGTTGGAGATGAGTTTTGCATTTTGGCTGTGTCCACATAATATGTCCAGTGATCCTGGGGCTTAGTATGTGGGGTGATCCTGGTTCTAGTGTTCATTTTCCACTGTGAATAAAACCTGGAAGTCACAAAAAGCAGCCAGGCTGCTATACTTTTCTCCACCACTCATTGGCCATGTTCCATGGGCAGCACAGGTCCATTTCCTTCCACTTTTGATAGAGTCAGAGCTTAATAAATACTGTGCTTCATGCCCATCAGCTTTTAAAGTCTTCTCACCACCCAGAAATTTGCAACCCCTCTCAAGTTGGCTTGCTATCCCCCCCAGTTTGAAAAGCATTGCATCAGTCAAACAGATTTTATAAGAATCTCCAAGAAAAAAATGGGTGATTATGTTATCATAAATATCATGGATGGACACTTGGCTTACTTGTTATATACATCATCTGCCATTCACACCATGTGCATTTCATTATTCTTGAGTCTGACAGGGCAGTGAAGGTTATCTCCTAGAAGCTTGGAGGCAGCTAATCCTATGCTGCCTGGCAAAGCAGTCTTTAGATTAGGGATACTAGTTTGCATAAACAAGTATGAAGATATTTGCAGTAACAGAGCGCTTTGCTTCATTTGTGAGCAACCTTTGCAAAACTCTTCCGAAATTGATATTGGTCCCTTGCTATTAACAGGTATATTGCATGTGGCACAGGTTAATAATTGAGTCAAAATTTTATTTGTATTACTAAAGAAGGCTTCAATGGTCCAAAGCCATGATGGGACTATCTGTTGACACATGGCAACAGGAAAATTGCAACCTGAAATGTAAGAGATCTACATGGTAAAGAGTATGCATATTGTTTACAGTTTTACAGTTACAGTTTACGGAGTCAGCATATTGCCCCCAACAATCTGGGTCCTCATTTTACCAACTTTGGAAGGATGGAAAGCTGAGTCAACCTTAAGCCACTAGGAATCAAATTGCCAAACTGCTGGCATAATATTGCATTCTAACTACTGCACCATCACAGCTCATATGTGTATTATTTGCATGAGGATATTTATCAACTCATATCTACTAGCTAAATGACATTAAGGACAGAGAAATCCTACAAAGAAGTATTTGTAGTAGGGTAAGGGACAACAACATCCCCAGTGGGGATGGCTAAAGTCTAAACAAAAGTTATTAGAGTTATTCACAGAAAGACTACATGATGTTGGGACTTTTTCCATGACATTTATCTTAACATCAAAATTCTGCAAACAAACATCCAGCTTTTTGGCAATCAATAGTTTGGAAACATGCAGTACTGTATACTTCTTAAGTATTTTAATATGCCTGCCAACATGTCACAACTGGGGAATTAAAAAAATAAAGAACCAAAAAAACCCCTCATTCTAAGTGATAAAAAAAATACGCAAATGGATCAAGGAGTACATTACAGGAAAAAGTTACAAGTGTGAGTATGAGGATTGGGAAATTGTGTTCTTTGTAGTGTTCAGAAAAAGAACATCTTGATAATTTTTATGGGATGTTATTCTACTTATAGTAATGCTATTGTTAGGTTAACTATTACTGTCCAATAGTTATCATCATCGTCATCATCATCATCATCATCATAGAATAACAGAGTTCAAAGGAACCCTGGAGGTCTTTTAGTCTAACCCTCTGCTCATCATCATCATCTATTAAATTTATACACTCAGCGATTCTGAGCATTTATAAATTGTAAAAATGATTTAAAAACAAAGGGGGAGGAAGAGAAAAAAAGCAGAGAGATGGCATAAATGATAAAACTAGACAGGAACAAAGAGAAAGAGGGGCTTGAATCATGCTCACCAGAGCATGACTAAATGCTGAGGCACATGGAACGCTTTTTACCTTCCCACAGAAGTGGTACCTATTTATCTACTCACATTTGCATGCTTTTGAACTGCTAGGTTCGTAGGAGCTGGGGAAGTAACAGGAACTGACCTTGTCGAGCAGCGCTTGGGTCTCAAATCTAGGCTGTCAGCTTTCCAGATGAAAAGCTCAGTATCTTTAATTGCTGAGCCATCGTGCCCCCTATATTATGTAGTATGAATCATGAAACCTGGAAATGCCAGGGAGATGTAGCCACACATCTTTGGAATGCCCTTTGACAGGAAATGTGCACAAATCTATGCATGTTTGCTGTAAGTAATCCTCAGTTAATGACCACTCGTAGCCAATGTGTTCCTAAGAAGGCTTTCATGTTCAACAATAAATCTGACATTCAAATTTGGCATATTATGCAAAACTTTCATTCTAAACCAGGCTCAAAAGAACACTATTTCATCTCCTCCAAAACAAAAACATATAACTGCCTGTCCTTTTAGCCCATGTCTGCAGGACGTTTAATAATCTGTTCTATGAAATACAGATTATTTCTTCTTCCACACATAGAAATGGGGTTGGTCTTGTTACAGTTTTCTATGTGCTGCATCCACAGATATGCTATAAATAAGAATAATGAGAAGAAGCAGAAGAGCATTAAAGGGAAAGAGTAACATTTATAACTATTCTCTGCTGTCAAGTTCTCAAACTTTCAGCTCTGTTTTATGACAAATAAATGGCCCAGCAACAATCTTTGTATTTTTATGTCCTATAATTTAATTTCTTTTAAATGCCAAAAAGGAGCTTAAACTATTACTATTAAAGCTTTACATTATAAGTGAAATCAATCACTGTGCATCAGTGACATTTCTTGAATAATTTATTGGTAACTCTCAATCACCTCTAGACAAAGCACAGCTATTTAAATAAAATATCACACTCATAAAATCTCATTAGTACAGAGCTTTCTAGTCCTCATCATTCTTGATGAAGTACAGTCTTGTTATTATGCTACTTAAAATTTTATCCTTTTATCTACTAACAGTCTATCATATAAATAAATGTAATATTGATCCACAAAACCACAAGTCTATGACCCATCCACTCATACGGTTCGGTTACTGTTTGTACATATTTATTTAAAATCAGATCATCATATTGGAGTGCTATAAATTACTTACTAACAAGAACGTCAATGTTCATGGGGAATAGCAATAGTAGTGAAACCAAACCAAGGATCCACATCTCTTCTTGTGTTGCCCAGATTCATGCATCAGACCAGAACAAGAACAAATACTGAATAGATAATTAAATCTTTTTCCAGTAACATCCTTCATCCCCAATGAACATACTAACATTCCACATTACTTCCATTCGATATTTTGACAAATGGGATGAGATTATACTTACCCTGTGTTTTTCTTTAATTTTCTTCCTATATTCCTCTTTGTCAAATTTATCCTCTTCCTGAAGTCTTTCTTTTGCTTTGTCTAGATTGATCCCATTACAATCATCACCATCTTCCTCTTCCTTCAGGGTAGATTTTTGTGCTGGTGGCCACTGCTGAATTAACTGAATCACAGAAGAAGAATAAAAACATTTCAGTACTGCTGTTTCTATTCTACAGTTTAAAAGGAGTCTGGATTGCTATGAAGACCAAAAGACATCAGGGAATAGTTACAGAAATATAATTTTCAGGCAGGGAAGTTAACAGAGGAAATAAAAATTGAAGCAAGATGACATTGAAAGATGACATTGTTTAATTAAATGGGGTGGTTCAAATGTCAGCTTGTATGAGGTGTGCAGACTCCATAGGAAGTAGGCAGTCCCCAATAACTGGGTCTTGTACCACAGAAGGTTTATAGGTCATAACCATCATACCCAGAAGCAAACTGGCAATCAGTGAAGTTCACATAGCAGGGATATCAAATGCACTTTGTTGCCTGCATGGCTTCATTCTGGACCAGTTGAACTTTCCAAGAGATCTTTAAGGACAGGGCAGATTGCAGTAACTGAATCATGAGTAACTGTCCAAAGAGTCTCCCAATCAAGAAATGGTGCAACTGGCATAACAGATGAAGTTCCTCTTGGCCATTAACTGCCACCTGCTCTCAAGCACAAGATGGAAATCTAAGAAGACCCCCAGATTGCACACCACCCTTAAATAACAGAATAACAGAGTTGGAAGGGAGCTTGGAGGCCTTCTATTCCAACTCCCTGCTCAAGCAGGAAACCTTATACCATTTCAAACAAATGATTGTCCATTTCATCACCTGATAATTCTACAGCAATTGCTTTTAACACTATCCTCTCCTCATCTGCAATTAGGGTGCTAATGTGCAAAAGTTCAATCCAGAGAAAACTATCATAAAAATTCAAGAGAATACAGAAGTCAATGGCAGCAGGGGAAAATCAGCTAACACAACATTTGTTCAAATCAAAAGAGTGTATTTGTATATACGTATATCTCTAATCACAGTTGGTTTAATCAAAGATAATCATTCAGAGCTATCAGATATACACTGGAAATCAGGGGGTGGGTGGGTGGGAGTGAGAAGCATCACAGTCTTCAGAATCCAAGCTACACCTTTGAAAGGGAACACAAAAAAGTGATGGGCAAGAACAATGAATTCTCACAATACCAAGGAAAGGGGATTCACTGAATCTGAAGACAACCAATGGTAAACACTGCTTGTTAAAGAAAAAGTAATGAGCCTCAGGGACAGAAAACACTGCTATGTAGAAATATGCACCAATACAGTTAAAAGAATCATTTCTACATGAGAGCTACTCAACACCTAAGATTGCTCACTGTTGTTTGAGCTTCTGTTTATATACAATGGCATAATCATAAGCACAAATGGCTGAAAAGATCAGATTTTTTGACCACCACCCATTCCATGGGACTATACATAATACTGCTAGACTCCATATCAGATATTCATAAAAACAAACTTTAATTCATTGACCTCATTATAGAAGTTGACAAGGGTTGTGAGAGAAGCATATTATAGTGTTTCCTAGAAAAAAGAAAAACAGCCAGAAAATAAATGGTTGCGACTTTCTATCAAGCTCACATACTTACTATCCATTGCTCTCAGTTTCAAATTAGCTTTTGCAATTGCAATGAACTAAGAGGCAAAGCAGCGAGACTTCGACTTGAGCAGGGCATCTGTCTTATCCTTCAGCAAACTAACATAAATGCTCCATTGCAAATTGTAATTTCCCTGCACCCAGCAGTAATGTACTGCTTGCAGAGGTACTGAAATGTTACTGGGCTCATTACACTCTTGACAACAGTGAAGTGGATCAAAAGAGGGAAAGGACGTCAAGGAAGAATAAGGCTGAGTTCTATTGAACACAGAGATGTGACAAATGAAGATTATATTGATAAAAAGCTCCCACAAACCTATAGACCATCTTTGCCACTCATATCATCTCTACCATGCAATTTGGTTCCCTGCCACTCAGAATCATTTATTTATGTAATCCATTCAATCCAGTAAATGAGCATGTAGAAATGGGGGTTTTAAAATTCCCACACAAAAGGAACCACAGTATATTTGCTATTAGTTTAGTGTGGGATTGTGGATTTCGCTTATGAGAGTTATTCATCAGAAGTATTAATTAAATATATGAAAACTAGGAAAGATACTTTTGGATTTCAGATACAATGTAGTTCAGACTTATTCCAAACTAGGGACATGCAAAACATTTCCAATTTTACTTCAAAACAATGCCAACTTGACTGAAAACATTCTGCTTGGAACACAAAACAACTGTGCTGAACTCAAAGCACGACGCATTAAGGGAATCCATCAATTTCCCTTGCAAATGTTTAAATAGTATTTAATAGAAATAATTGGTAATAATGGACAGACAGCACTCCCAAAGTATATATTTCAGGGGCAGTGACATTCACCCAGGCTTGACCTCAGTTCCCAAGTCCAACTTTTTCCTTACCATCAGTACTTGCATTTTGCCTGGATTTAATTTTAGTTTGGTCTCTCTCATGTAGTCCATTTCTGAGATTAGGATATATGGATTACTTCCTTGGAGTTAGACAGTAAGGAACAGTAATTATTTATTTTTTTACTTTATTTACTCAAATGCTTAGCTGCCCAGCTCCAAGGGACTCTGCATATCATTAGCATAGTGATAGCATGCCACTCCAAAGATTCAAATAATGTCAGGTGGGAAGAATCAGGACCACACTTTAAATTCCGGTTAAGCTGATTGCTCATACATAAGAATCTAGTCGATTAATGGTCAGCACTAAATTTGCGCTTTTGAAGAATTAATAGAATTCAAAGAGGGCTGGATTTGGATTGCTTGTGGAAATATAATGACTCAAGGCTGATTCCTCTCTTGACTTCCGGTTCCGGAACGCGGCGCTTGCAGCTGTTCGAAGAGACTGCTCTCTTTGCCAGCTGATTCTCTGCTGCCGGTAGATCCTTAATCGGGTCGAAAAGCCACCCTGGAGGGGCGGCTACCACTGATGAGGTCCTCGTCGTCCGTGGGAGAGCGGCAGCTTCTTCCACAACCCGAAATTGCTTCTTTGGGCCGACGATGGAAAGACCGGCCAGTAAAATGGCCGTTCACTTTGCCACAGTAACCAGAAGTCAAAAGAACATCTAAGCACAGGAACCACCGTGGCTGAGCTGGGTGAGATTTTTTTTCTCTCTCCCTCTCTTGGTTCTCCTTTTTCTTTTGTGCCTGTAAAAAGCACTTTTGAAATCATTTCCCTGCTCTAAGAAAGCGCTGTTTGTGAGTGTGGGAAAAGAAGCTTAAATAGACTGAATTAATTTAAAGTTACTTTTTTTCTATTTTTTTTTAATTCACTTTGGGGTCTTGGAAAAAATATTTTAATATTGAATTTACTACTGGACTTTCTCTACATTTTAAGAATTCTCCTTTTTTGTGTGTTTTTTGATCTTGTTAACATTATTCCTGGTGTCTGGGAGGAGATTTTATATGTTACTGAGGACACCTTGTGGAAAAAGTTAAAATTTGACTTTGACCTTCAGATTGCCATAAAAGGGAAAACACAAAGAAACTTAATAGCTGTATTTGGGGGGGGTGGATACTGATTAAATGTTCTTGGAACACAGCCCCTACTAAAAGATATAGACTGTTTCTAACTATTTTTGAAATGGAGAAACCCTATGTTCAACTTGACTATAAACTCATACTGGAAAAACTTTATGAAGCTACTGACCAAACACGTTTGCAAATAAAAGAGTGCACTATAGCAATAAGAAACAGAAATTCTTCTTTGAAACTAAAAATTGACCCCCAGACTCTATCTGAGCATTCAACAGACCAAAAAACAACAGAAGCAGAACCAATTAAGATTAAAGAAGATTCCACTTTACTTCATACACATCCTGATGAGATCTCTGAGGAACCAAAAAGGATTATAATTAAACCACTTATAATTCCAAAATCAACAGAAATGGATAGACAAGCTCCACTAACCAAGAACTATGGTAGCTTGGATAAGCAACTATTAACTACAAAGTTGGACATAACTGAGTCTGTTATTCAACAGTTTCAAATGTGGAGACATGACTCTTTAAAACAATTAGGGATTACTTACAAAGGAGCTAGGTCTCTAAAACAGAAAAGGGGTCACTTTTGTTTGACCCAAAGGATACTACAAGGCACAAAAAGTGACTTGTGCATTGATCTAGAAGTGTTGCTATGGAAACCTGTCTGGCATAAAAAGAAAGCTAGAATAAGATTTAAGAGTGTGACTCAAGGCTCTATATAACCAGTTTAAAAGGCTTATTAGATATGGATTGATTTATGGTTTAAGACAGTTAAATAAGATGTTAGATTGAACAAAAATTAATTAAAGATTTGAATTTAATAAGATGTTTGTCTTTGTGGGTGTTAAAGGAGTTTGACACAGATATTGAGAGATTGATAGATTATAAAGTATAATAGAGTAGAAAAATATTTTTTTCTTTTTTGTTTTCGTTTTTGTTCTTTTTTTCTCTTTTCTTTTTTGAACTAATATTTTTGTTATTAGAAATGATAGTTATTTTGTAATGGAAGAAGAATAAGAAAAAAGAAGAAATGATATTAATAAATGATTATTGATTATGTTAAGGAAAAAGGGAATGGAGAGACACCTGAAGTGTTAATTATGTATTTATATTAGCAATATGGAATATAGCAATTGAAATAGTAAAGCTTAATACAGGATTTGGACTTATTTAGATGAAATGTTATTGATGCTTGTTTTGATTGACTTAGTTGTATTGAAATATATTAACTTGAATATAATATATTATTAAAGAGAATAGAGAGGGGGTTTCTAATGATTTAATCTGAACTATATGAGTATGACTATTTTGCCCCTGCCCCCGCCCCACCCCCGCCCACAGGGCCACCTACCACCCCCACAGCCCACTGCAGATCGCCCAGGTGGCCCTGCAGCGCCATGGTGGCCACGCTCTCCGCCCGCGCCCTGCAGCATCATCTGCGCATGGCGGGGCGTGAGGGCGGACTCTTGTCCCTGCTGCCTGACTGCCATGTCCTTGGCTGTGCTGCTCCATGTGGGCCGCACCTGGGGGCGACTCTCATCCAGGGGGGCTGCTGGTGAGGAGGGGGTCACGGGAGGAAGCAGGGCTGGGGCAATGGCACACGTGCCCACAGAGAGGGCTCTGCGTGCCACCTTTGGCAAATGTGCCATAGGTTTGCCACCACTGTCTTATAGCAAAACAAGACCATATGACTGCAAGGAATGTAAATCCTTCCATTCTCCACCAGTCAGAACTGAAGAAATTTCTTGGATGAGAATCGAAATGTCTTCTAGCAAAATCAGAAAGTCCAGTTGCTTTTTGAAAGAAAGCACCCTTGGGCCAACCATGTCCTGGATAACTGAGAATCTCCAAAGACACTTGGGTTGAGGATTACCTGTAATCTAAAACTGAATAGAGAACAAAAGTCATAAATAGTTCAACACACTACCAATCTAACATCTGCCTTGTCCCAGGAGGTGGAAATAAAATCTTGAGCAATCATAGATACTGCAATAATCTAAAGCCAAATGTCTGGGATATTATTAAGGTGAAATATAATCAAACCTATTTGGCTAATAAAGGTAATATTCCCTTAGTCTACACTCCAAAAAGATATTAATGTAGGAAATCTTAAAAGTATAATCAAATTATTTGTATTTGATCTTACCTCTCCATCTTCAGTAAATACAATTTTTGTATTTACTTTAAAATTTCTCTTCAAAACCTTTTTAGCTTCTTTTGTCTTAGTTATTTTCTTCTTCACCTTTACATTCTGTGTAGCCTAAAAAAGATGGGGAAAAGATGGAAGACAGCCTTTAATATCATAAAAAGTTCTGAAATGAGCATTATTCAATTAGCACCAAAAACCCTACCTTTCAGCGTTTTTTAAATAAATACATTTCTAATCCTGAAAATTTCAGAAATACATGTTAATGTATGATGTGATGTCTCACAAAGAAAAGAGAAGATAATAGGGAAATTTTGTGATGTGATATCTCAAAAAGAAAAGATAATGGGAAAATTTCTAAAGTCATTAATACATCAGACTGTGATGAGGCAACGACACTATCTCAATATTGCTGCAATTTTGCACCCTTAACTGAGCCAGAGAAAATCTAATAGTCAGTTTTATAGATATCTCTTTTGCTTGATAAAATTTTATTCTCAATAAGCATTCAAACATTTCACATATAACATCCTATAAATATGTTGAGTATTATAAGGCTTGCAAGGAAATATATTATTTTTATAACCTACAATTTTCTAATATTTGCAGTTTCCAACCACATTAGCTTTTCCTAATAGTATTTATAAACACTAGTTTGTTCCATACATAATTAATATTATTTCAAACTGCTATGATTAATACAGGTTACTTAATAGCTAAGAAGAAATATAACAGAAATAACTTAGGGGCAACATAATAAATGTCTAAATTAATAGATGGCAAAACATCTCAATTAATAAATGTAATGAATGACTTTTTATTAAACTCACAATGCCCTTCAATTTGTAAAACAAGTTCATCAATATTAGTTTTAAATTTATAACCAGTACCTGTTTAGGCCAGCTAAATGTGGAAACAAAAGTTTAGATTATTGAAATGGAAACTAAAAATGGAAAGCCAAACTTAAATGTCTTGCATTTTCTCCCTTAATGGCTATCTCTTTATGTAGGTCTGTATTTATATGTGAGTGGAGGGATTCTGTATTGTTTTCAGAAAATGCTCTGAGGCAGTCTCTCATGAAACTCCCAGGGAAACAATTTTTCACTGGCATGTAATGCCATCTTAAACTGAATGTGTGGATTTTCCACATTTAAACATAGCTTCTCATATGTTCGAGGGGGTTCAATGGCTTAGTGGTTAAAGTCACTGAGCTTGTCACTTGAAAAGCTAACAGCCCGGGTTGGAGACCCGAGCGCCGTGCAATGGGGTGAGCTTCCATTCTTTGCCCCAACTCCTGCCAACCCAGCAGTTTCAAGCATGCAAATGCAAGTTGGTTAATAGATATCACTTTGGTGGTAAGATAACAGTGTTCTGGGTGCCTCTGGTGTATAGCCATGCTGGCCATATGATCATAGAAATGTCTTTGGGCAACGCTCCCTTGGCCAAGAAACAGAGATGAGCACCACGCCCCAGAGTCGGACATAACTGGACAGGGAAATCTTTACCTTTACCTTCCCATGTGTTCAGTTCATTCAAAAACCTCTTCAAATGTTAAATGAAAATTCATTAAATTAAATTAAATTTGTACCAAATATACAGGTACAGATTAGATGAAACCTGACTCAACAGCAGTAACTGCGAGAGGGATCTTGGAGTCCCAGTGGACAATCACTTAAATATGAGCCAGAAGTGAGGCAATAGCCAAAAAAGGCAATGCAAAGCTAGGTTGTATTAACAGAGGGATAAAATCAAGATCATGTGAAGTGGCCTGTGAAAATTATTTGATCATAAAATATAGGAATAGTTCTGCTGGGTCAGACTATCTTTTGATTCTTAAAATATAATGCACAAGCAGGGGATGGATCACACAGTTATGTTTAAAAATAAGTACAGCCTATTGATTTTTTTTTTACTTTTTCATATAGTTCTACAGATATTTAAAATTGGTTTCAGAATAAATAAAATATTTACATTTTGTAACCCATTGTGTATTTAAATAAACATAAATGCAAATTTCATATTTGGAAAAACTCAGGCCACCCCTACATGTATCATTCCTTCAAAAATCCAAAACCATAAAGCGTGTCTGGCAAAACTAAAGTCAGTACTTCACCAGAAGAATTTGATATTAACGGTAAGGCGTGGTGGTAGAAATGCTACAGTTTGGGGCTGCTTCGCTTCGCTCCATCGGGGTCTCGGGAGCTCACCATCAGAAAATCCACTATGAATTTGTCATTGTATCAGAAGGTGTTTGAAAATAATGTGAGCTTGCAAAGCGGCAATGACCCTAAACATTCCAGTTAATCCTCCAAGGCAGGGCTTTTCAACCAGTGGTACGGGTACCACCTGTGGTACATTGGCACCTGGCAGGTGGTACGCAACCATCCTAGAAAAGTGGTAGCGAGGGAGGGGAATGAGCTGAACCGGTGGCAGCACTGCACAAGCCTGAGCGAGAGATGGCTGAAACTGCAGGGCTGTCAGGGCTCAGCGGAAGCACCAGGATCAGTGCCGCTTTCCAGCTGATTGGCGCTTCTTTGGGACTGTCAGGGCTCAGCAGAAGTACCAGGATCAGCGCCAGGCTCCAGCTGGAGCTCGGCGCTGATCCTGCCGCTTCTGCTGAGCCCAGAAGAAGCGCCGATCAGCTGGAATGTTGCAGCATCTCCAGGGTCTTGTGATTTACATTCAGATGCTTGGCAACTGATTCATATTTATGACTGTCACAGTGTTCCAGGGTCATGTGAAGTGACCAAAACCGGCTGCAACCATCCAGCAGACGGGGGGGGGGATAAAAACCAAACACCCCCCACCCCACCATCGCTGCCAATCCTCAACAGAAATGCTCAGAACAATGAAAACCTCGGACAGGAGAAAGAGCGCCACCGGGTGGACAGGCAGGTGTCTTGCTCGGCTATGGCTTGGGGGCACTTTTTTCAGTGCCATTGTAACTTCGAACAGTCACTAAGTGAAGTGTTGTAAGTCGAGGACTACCTGTACTTCATCACTTTTTCCCTTTTTTTGTGATCAAGTTTTTGACACCTTGCTAGGCGACTGGTGGTACTCAGATGTTGCCATATCCTAAAAGTGGTACAATGGGTGAAAAGGTTGAAAAGCCCTGCTCCAAGGAATGGAAAGGAAGGAAGGAAGGAAGGAAGGAAGGAAGGAAGGAAGGAAGGAAGGAAGGAAGGAAGGAAGGAAGGAAGGAAGGAAGGAAGGAAGGAAGGAAAAGTTGAGTGTTCTGGAATGACCAGAATCCAAAGCCCAGACACAAACCCCATTAAGATGCTATGTGGTGATTTGAAACTGGTTGGGCAAGAAACCCCTTGTGAAAACTAGACTCTGTTTAGGGCAGAATAGACCTCTCCTCTGTAAACCACCTTTTAAAACCTCCCAAGGTTTTGGGCCATCTCTCTGACATGGAGATTGACTAATTCCACTGGTTAATTATGTACTGTGTGAAGAACTGATTTCTTTTTTAAATCTTTTTCCAACCAGCCTTACTGGATGGCCCCTGGTCCTAATGTCTTGAGAAGGAGGAAAAGGCACTCTCCTCATCCACTTTCTCCGTGCTATGCATGAGAATTTATCCAAAATAAACTGTCCCAAACATTAGTTGGAATCAAAAATGGTTGTTAGATTGCTGATGATCTGACTCTGAGGGAGCAGCTTCTGATCTTCAGACATCATAAACTGTACATCACATGAAGGATGCCACAGATGTTACTTACAGCTACTTTTTTATCAATGATATCTCCACCACTTTACAGCAGGAATGGAAAGATCAGAAGGTAATCTAAGTGGCAAAAAAATATTTTCCTCATTTTTTTGTTGTTATAGGTTGGAACAACCACTATATTAAAGATAAGGCATAAATAGTTAAATCTTATAACAGTAGTCCTCGACTTACAACAGTTCATTTAGTGACTATTCAAAATTACAACGGCACTGAAAACAGCGACATGACTGTTTTTCACATTTATGATTGTTGCAGCATCCCTATAGTCACGTGATCAAAATTGCAATTGACAATTTTGGCAACGGACTCATATTTATGACAAATGCAGTCTTCTGGGGGTCATGTGATCCCCTTTTGGGACCGTCTGACAAGCAAAGTCAATGGGGAACCAGATTCACTTAACAACCATGTTACTAACTTAACAACTGCTGTGATTCACTTAACAACTCTGGCAAGAAAGGTCATAAAATGGGGCAAGACTCACTTAAATGTTTCACTCAGCAACAGAAATGTTGGGCTCAGTTGAGATCATAAGTCAAGGACTACCCATATGTCCATGTAAAATATGAGAAGGTAAGAAGGCGAGAAGAAGCAAGAGCAACCTCAAAAGATGCAAAAAATAAAATAAAATAACCATACAAAATGCTTTTGTTGAAATCACTGGAAAGAACAGTATCTTTCATTCCCACAAGCCAAGGACAATTCAATCAAACAAGCAGAGAATAATATTTCTTATTTCCCACGTCACTGCATCCATCGCAGAAGTGAGAAATGGATATTGGTTGCATGCTCTGCAAAATGATTTGCATTAAAAAAAGGAAAGAAAATACGAGGAGAGAGATGAAGGCATAAAAATACATTTCTTTGTGGACTTTAATGAAAATGACATAATCAATTTATCTTGCCCTCCGGAATCCAATTTTTAACCTGCCAGTTTCAATAACTGTTTTTAACACTGGGAATAAAAGCAGCTGCAGGCAAGTGGGGGGGGGGTTATAGAGAGAGAATCCTGAACCCGATTTTCTTTATACCAGGTCACATCATTAACAATGGATTTTTGACAACTATTCTGCAATTTGGAAAAGAGACTTAAGTTTCCTTAGAAATATTAAAATTTTAAAAAGGAAGGAAAGCAAGAGATATAAAGACCTGAGTCCAATATCATAGGTGTGTTTGTGTGTCTGTGTTATCAAAGAACTTGTGATAGTAATCACAACTGCATAATGAAATCCCTGAAATCTTAACATATGTAATGAAAGGGCTTCTATTGCACAGCCACTGCTGTCATCTTTACTTTTTCATCCCACCCCCAGTAGATTCCTCTGCTCTGCACCATTCTCTGTATCCCCAAATTTGGAGGGGGTGATGAAGAGGAAAAGTC